CCATCCTGGGCTCCCGAATTTTTCGGACGGCTGCGGCGCGCTGGGCAGGCTCGGGCCGGGGGCTGCAGGCGTGACGCAGGCATCCGCACGGACCCGGCGCTCAACTTCTGCCTGGGAATTACCGACATGCCGCACGATGGAAACGGTAAATAGCATCCGCGCTTCGGGAGGGAGCGCGGCGCTCCCCGGCAGCCCGGGCTGACGCTCCTGGCCCGAGCAGTCCCTCCTCTTCTTCCGAAATGCTTTTCCTGATGTTTTTTTTGCGGCTCCGGCGCTGCCTTTGGTCCTGGACACAGCTCTAACTCCACACGATGCTCGCCTCCTTTTCCGCCGCGGGTTTTCCGCCTCGCTTTAACGAAAGGAGCTGCGCGCTCGACCAGCACGGAGCGGCAGCGGCTGCAGCAGGAGGTTGGGACCGCGATTAAACTTGGCTTCAGTCCCTCCAAAACTCCCCTTTATCGTGCTGTCTCGGAGAGCTAATTCTTTAAAACTTTCCCTGCATCCGAAAACTCAGCTGTGCAAATGAGAAGAGTAAAAATTAGATGAGTCGGCAGAGCATCCTTTGTATGGGGGTGCTTTGCGGGCATTTGTACACAGCCATGTGTGTCTAAATCATATATTTCCTGGGCTTTGTTCTCTAGAAATAATGGGGGAGAAGAGGCTTATTTCTAGTGCAGCAGTGGTTGCTATCTGTGCATTTTGGAAGCACTGATTTCTTCCTAGGCGCTGGCCGCAGTGCTCCTTACGAGGAGATGTTCCCTCGCATGCTGAGTCTTCTCACTTAAAAATATCTCTTTTCAGACCACTGCACTGGTCTCCCTATGGAAGCAGCTGTTTATACGTGGCAGTGAGACCCCATGGAGCAGTTGAGGAGGGGGATGGCTCTTCATATTCATGAAGCCTGGATACTGCTGTTTCTAATCCCTGCTTTGGTCACTCCAGCTGCCCTCAACCATGAAGACTACCCTGCCGATGAGGGGGACCAGACCTCGAGCAATGACAATCTGATTTTTGATGACTATCGAGGGAAGGGCTGCGTGGACGACAGTGGCTTTGTGTACAAGCTGGGAGAACGCTTCTTCCCGGGACACTCCAACTGCCCCTGTGTCTGTACTGAGGACGGACCCGTTTGCGACCAGCCGGAGTGCCCCAAAATCCACCCCAAGTGTACAAAAGTGGAACACAACGGATGCTGTCCGGAGTGCAAGGAAGTGAGAAACTTTTGTGAATATCACGGGAAAAATTACAAAATCTTGGAGGAATTTAAGGTATGAACCCCCTTCTTCAGTATTTAATATTAGTGTGTGAGATGGCGTGTGCTCCTGTGGGGGGCTCTCGGGGTCTGCTTGTCTCTTTTAATCCGTGCTAAAACCAAAGGCCTCCTTTGGCCGTGGTGAGGACCACCTCACTCCTCCCATGCGCCCCATGAAGCGCGCCAGCCCTCCCGTTCCTCTGGACAGCCGCCTTGTTTGTCCACAGGGTGAATCAGGTTGAACTGCCAAGGGCATCTGTCAAAATGGCATTAAATCAATCCTGAGTACTCTTCCAAGAACCCTTTTCCAAGCTTGGATAGTACAAGTTGATCACATGGTACTAAGAGTTGGTGTTCACGACTATTCAAAAACCCACATAAGTAGACAGTAACCTGTGTTTAGTACATGTAGTGCAACTCTGATGAGCAAAGCTGTCTGGAATAGCCAAAGTTGGATTTCCAGGCAGGTAACCATTTCAAGCCACGAGAAGTTTGTGGTTTAACTACAACGGTTGAGTTCCCACTGGGAAGGTTGGGGCAGAAGTACTGAGACATCATTACAGGATGCCTCTTAAAAATAAGACCAGGTTTTCCAATATCATTACCCTTAATACAGTGTATGTCTCTCATTCTTTTAAGCTAGATTACGTGTTTTCAGTGCTGCCAGGGAAAACAGGATTTCAGAACCAAGAGCAATCTCTATAAAAACAATAGGTGTGCAGGAGTTTATTCGCTCAGGTCATGTGGCTTCAGGATTCATGCCTCCCTAATTAAGGACAACCTATAACTTTTCATGGCTCTACGCCTGATCTCATTATACATGTGCCAATTTATTTTCTCTTCTGACAGTGAGCATAAATCCTTATAAGTCTTTATATTTCGCAGGTTCTCCCTAACACAGATCATGGTTTCCCTTTTCCCAGATGATCTTCTCTGCCATTTTTCAGCAGAATTAATATTTAGTTCCTTTCTTTTCCTGTCATGTATGGTTTGTTCTGCTCTTTTTCTGCCCATCTGGAACTGGAATAACTCAGTATCGTCAAGACGGTTCAATGTCTTAAGGAAAAAACAACGTTAGGGGAGCAGCTCCTTGAGGGCCATCCTGACCCAGCTGTTCTGTGCTCTGCAGAGCCGTATGAAGATGCTGGGTTTTGTGAACTGCCAAAATGCAGTTTCTTGTTGCCCTAAGCAGACCCAGTGCAGCCTCATCTCTCAGGCATCGTGCCTGAAGACACAAGGGTCCCATGTTTGCCTGCTTGGTGACTCCACATTCCACTTATGTGGAAATGCATGGTCAGGTTCTTGTGTGGGAGTTGGGAGGAACCTTTTTAGGAGAGGTTTTAGGAAGGCAGGGGAGAACAGTAACACAGAGCTTTTCATTAAAGTATCTATAGCACAAGAAAAAAAAAAACTACACACACAAAAGTGCTCCTTAGTGTTACTCACAGGAAGAACCTCAGCCTCATCACGGATGAGAGGGCGGAGTAAAAGGGAGCTGCTTCATTGCTTGTTGTGCAACAACCACATGAGCAGCACAGAGCGATTTTCCAGTATCTTTAGAAAAAGGCAGAATAGGTGGTGGCATGGAGTAACCTTCAGTTCAGGGCTAATGTGAGGTCCTCTACATTTAATTTAGTTCACAGTCAAGTGTTTGACCTGGACCTGTGTTTTACTGAGAGCTTGGTACTATATAGTGCAGAACAAAAACTGATTTTTGGATGTTTATGTGTTTACCTAGAATAAATGATGAAACCCTCCTTTTTTCCCTCCAAGCAATGGAGCAGGTTCAGGGAAGGGAACATCACTGTGCAGGTGCCAAAGTGTTAAAGATAAAGAAGAGAGTTGTTAGGAGCTGAAGGAGCACCCATGAACTATGGGTTTATAAACACTGTAGGAAAGGCAGAGCCTGAAGATTCAGGAAATTACCACTGTAAAGTGAAATCTTGACTTCGTTGAAGTATCTTGAGTATTTTGCTGTTTACTGCAACAGTGCAAAGATTTTATCTGCCACCTCCGTGGAAGAAAAGCTGAGCAGCTCATAGGTTGTACCAGTCAGAGCTCAGCTCTTCCCTAGGCCTGGGGAATGTGCATGGTCTGCAGACTTCCCCAGGCCCACTCCACCCAGCCGCCAGCCTGGCTTTGCCAGAGGTGAGGGCCTTTCTCTTGTCCATCTGGCTCAAAACCAACCCGCTTTCGCTGGAAATGGATTCACAGTTTTGTGCGATTTGCTTTTGCTGATATCTAGGATCCAGTCAGCTTCCATTTAAAGCTCTGTTTTGCAAGTGCGTGTGCAGGTGCATGCAGACACATGCTCCTGCTCACCTCGTGCATGTGGGCACAGCTGACTCACCTTTCACAAATTTCAGCTGCCTCCTTGTTGCCCCAGGTAGGATTAATTTTTCCCTAGGAAATTCCTGACAAGCTGTGGAAGGTACTTGGGGCAGGCTAATTAGTCAAAATTTATTAGAGATTTCTAACTGGGATAATTTTGTTGCCTTGTTTTTAATCTTCCTGTGCCTTCCAAGTGATTTGGGATGGAAAATCCAAATGCAATATAATTCTTTATTATTATTATTATTATTTCCCCTCCCTTAGGACTGACAGTGAGTGTGAGGGCCACAGGGTAGAAGGTAGTTACAAAAAACATTTCTTGACCATTCATCTTCCTTCTAGCGGGCTGAGTCGGTGACTCATGACTATTGGAAGCACAAAATAAAAACAGGACAAGAAGCCCTCTAGTTTAGACAGTTGTCCAAATGCTTATGCTCATGCCCCTAAATCATTAACACTTGTAAATGAAATGCTTAAGTGAAGTTCAAATGAAAATCTCAACCCAGCTTGGAAATGGTTTTGTGAGCCCTGTAAGATCTCCATGGTTCTGTTATGGAGACCTATGAGGTCCTTCTGGCTTTGGGGCTCAGCTACCCTTGTGGAGCTGGGCTGGTCCCCATGGGCCATCTTAATCTGGGACTTCAGTAAGGCCAAGTTTTACCAGGAGCCACAGAAACCAGCAGCAGAAAAGATCAGAGAGCTCCATTTAGTGGGCCCCAAGACACAAATTGGGGTAATGCACGGGTTGTTCTCCAGCATTCAGGAGTTCGACCCCTCTCCTGAGAAGGAAAATGCAGGAGGACAGGGAGGCCTGGTCACTTTTACTGGGATCCGCGGTTCTCTTCTCGAGCCTCGTTCTTCATTTTCCTCTGGGAATCCCTTTCCTCTGAAAAGCTCCGCTCTTCACCACAGGCCGAGCGTCAGGGCAACACTGCGGTGGGTGGCTGCAATGAAGGCAGGAAGGCCTCATCCCTCCGGAGAGCCCTGTCAGTGCCCCTGGAGCCACCACATAGGTCGTGCTTTGGCTTCCAGTGCTGAGGTAAAGCTCCAAGTCACACGTGCCACACGCCTCCCTGCGATGGCCGAGAGCTGTGGGAGTTGTTGACCTTCTTCTTTCTGCCTCAGAGGAGAAAACAAGTAAACAACAAATAAGGAAGTGATCTCAGTTATCCTGAATACACACAGTTGTGTTTTAAATGCATGTTCCAGGCAGCAGCTTATGTAAACTTAAGGAGACAGTGTACCGCAAGCTTGATGAATGTTCATTGGCAGCTCATGGAGGAATCGTGCGAATGTCAAAGAGACAACAGTTTTCCTAAGTGCTGATTAGTTTTTACTCTGCTACACAACTTACTGACAGAAAATAACACGCCTCCCCGCACTGGGAAAATGTAATTTACGGCAGGGTTCAAGGTACATTTGTAGCCACAGTGAGGAGCCTTCTGAAAATGATTGGGTTGTCAGTTTGAGAAGTCTGTCACCACTCCTGTGAATTCCCTCGTTCCTGCATTGCTGTGTCCAGGTGTCCCCAGAATCATCTTCCCCGTGGGCATCTGGATGTGCAGCGAAATGCCATTGCCACGATGGGGCTGATGGGCTCACAAGACGTTGTTGGGCTGACATCTTGAAGTGTCCTCATAGACCATGTAGGAAGGAAATGCCCCTTCTGCCTGCAGGCCAGTGAGTCCCACTGACCACAGGACCATGGGACTCGTGGGAGGGGGGTTTCCCTTTTTGAAGTCAACAGTAGAGCTCTTCTGGTTGCTTCCTCCTTCGCTCCCTCCTGCCCAAACCCATCCTCGCTCCGGCAGGCACTCCTCAGGTGAGGTCCAGAGGTTTGCTGGCTCTGCCAAGCACAAGGAGCACAAGGAGGATGTTGAGGGATGGAGCATGATCTCCTACCCCTGGGCAGGCACCTACTCTGTGAGCAGTAGGAAAGGGAAAGGGGAGATTTGTGCTTCATTAAAGCCTTAGGGCAAAAATCTCTACTGAAAAAGAGCCAGGATTTCACTCCTGGAGGTCTACTTTATTTTCCTCTCCCATATTTCCTTCCACTATATCTTAAATTCATTGCTGTGTTTTGTCTGCAAAGCATCTCTAATCCTTTAGCTCAGGCCTCCCTATCGCTGACTTTATGTCTTCTTACACTGTGCTGGCACAGTGGGGATCCCAGCTCCAGCAGGGATCTTTGGGGTCTAATCAGACTCCAAAGTAAATGAGGGGCTGTGTAAGCACAGCATTATCATACACTAGTTCCCCGTCCATTGTGGAAGCCTTTACTTGGAAATAGCAGCATCTCTTTCTCCTTTGTTAATGCTCCTTAAAAATGTTTTATTAATGCAATTACCTTAATATAACTTTGTGAAATAGAGCGGTAGCTAAGACCTTTCATCAGAAGGTCTCGGCGCACGCAAGAGTTTATTCAGCTGTCATCGCAGCATCTCTCAGTGCCTGAAATGCCATGATGCGGCCATCCTGCCCCTGGAAAACAGCAAGGAGACCAGGAGCGGTCCCGCCGCCTGCCTGTAGCCGTGCCAGAAATAGAAATTAAGTGGCGCAAACCGCATCCTTGCTCTGACCACAGCCCCGGAGCGCAACCTTATCAAATATGAATGAAGCGCTCGCGGCAGCCCCGTGGCAGCCCCGCTGCTCGGCGGCGGCTCTCGCTGCGCCCCGGCTGGGAAG